GGGACGGAGGAGGATGAGGAGGAGGATGAGGAGGAGGATGAGGAAGAGGAAGAGAAGGAGACGATTATAATCAAGGGAAAGGGTCCTGGAGGAAACGGGTCCTGGAGGTTTCTCGTGACCAAATGCTCATCCTGAACCACGTCTTGTCGGGAAGGGAAAAGCCAGGAGGGCCGAAGGAGGCCGAATTCGAAGGAAATCTCGGGACCCCTTCCCCTGAGGATCCCTCTTCATAATGGCGATGATAATCGGAAGGGCGAGGCGGAGGATGAGGAAGAGGAGGAAGAGGGGAGGACGCAGGAGGAGGAACAGCTCGTGTAGTACAGCGACGGTTGAAAGAACGCGCGGGGAGATACTCGATCAATCGAGAAAACGGGGCTTGGTCACGGCGGCAGAACCCAGGCTGTGCCCTCGCCCCACGTCCCGTTTGAAAAGAGTTGGGGGCATGCACAAAACCGCATAGGGGGGTAGCTACGCAACGATCGGTGGCGGCGACGGCGACAACGATGCTTATGTGGCAGTTGCCGCAATTCGCAAGTGCCCCCCCTATAATAGGGGGCACACCAACCTACCTCGCTTTTGACCACCCTCGTGTCCAAGAGATACCAAGCGATGCCAAACTGCGGCCTCTGTACTGGTCAGGCCGCTTGACGAGGAGGCGCGTGGCATGACTTGGTTTTGCCTGGAAGCGAAAGCGGGGTAGGTAATTCACGCTCCGATATACTGGCCCTCGCTCGGACGTCCATTTTCTCTTTTTGTTTCGGTTTCGTGCGTGTTTTTTTCGCAAAATGATCAAGGATGCTCCTCGAGGGTCCTCGCCGAAGGAAAAAAGCGCACGTCCGAGCGATGCCAAGTGTAAGCGGGAGGGCGCACTCGTCGCCTGCCTGCCCGCGGATCGGGCAGGCGCGCCGTGCCGCGCAGTCGGCGGCCCTCGGTCCGTGAGAGCAGCTCGAGCTGATGGCGTGGGAGGGTCAAGCCCAGAGAAAGACTTGAGCCCCACTGGGCAGCAGACAGGAGAGAAAGAGAGAGAGAGAGAGAGGGAGGAGGAAGAGGAGGAGGAGGAGGAGGAGGAGGAGGAGAAGGAGGAGGAGGAGGAGGAGGAGGAGGAGGAGGAGGAGGAGGAGGAGGAGGAGCGGACAGGACAGAGAGCGGGCACCAGCCCGTGCCAGCCACTGAACACCTTACGTTCAGCTTCGCCCGCACTCTCACGTTCGAAGAGAGCCGGGGACGTGCACAACACCGCACGGCGGTAACTCCAGAACGGTCGGTGGCGGCGACGGCGACCACGATACTCTGTTGGCCGCTGCCGCATAACGCAAGCGCCCTCCCGATGACCAGGAGGGCACGCTCGTTCTCTGCCTGCCCGCTGATCGAGCAGGCGCGCCGTGCCGCGCACGGCGGCTCTCTGCCCGCCCAATCTCCGCCGGCGACTCTGGTGCCGCTCGGCCAGCACCACGGGTCTCGGCGCCACACCTCGGGGACAGCGCTGGCGAGCGCTATCCCTCGAGTAAGGGATCGACTGCAGAATCGACTTGCCCCAAACTTGATCTGTGCGTCGGGACCTGCAGACCAAAACACGTGGAATCTGAATAGATCTGCGAAGAATGTGCGCATGTTCTGCAGATCAGGCGAACACTCCAATTTTGGGGCGCATCGATTCTGTAGTCGACCCCCTACTCGAATCCTCGTCCTCCGGCGCAACCTCTTCTCGTCTAGGCCAGATTCCTCGTCCTCCGCCGGAGATTTACGATCCATTACCGCGCGCTGCAGCCACTCCTGGATCCTCTGCCTCGACACGGGGGAGCCGTCCGCCGAGCGCGCCACGGGGAGGTGCGCCTCCATACCTCCCCCCATCCTCGTCGGGAAGTGCCGATGGCACTGCTCTGCCGCCCGCGCCGGGCAGACCTCGCCTCCCGCGCAGTGGTGGCTCCGCGCCATGCCTGCCCCTGCCTGGTCCGTGTTGCTCGCCTTGAACCACAGCGCACAATGGTGCGTGGGGCTGCCTTTCAGATTCGGCGCCACGTCCAATGACCCGTCAGCACCTTGCGGTGCTCCCAATAGCGCACGCGTGCCCCCCGATCCACGTTGGGAGAACAAGCGCCGCAATGATCAGGGACTGGCAGCTGGCAACGGCGCGGACTGCAAGACCAAGGGTCTGGAGCTCGCGGCGGGGAAGGGTGGGGGGGGACCTGGGGGACTGTGTCGCAGGCGCCCCTTGAACAAGGAGACGGTGCAGAGGAGAGGAGACGGCGCGCAACTCTGCAGCGCCGCCGCCTGCGCCTTTCCCGACTGGCCGAGTTGCGGGGCGCAGCCGGGGTCGGCAGCGGCCACCACGTCCCAACCTGCCAACCGGGAAGCGGCCTGGTGGCGCGCCAGGGGGGCTCAACCAGAGGGTCGGCGGGTCGGCGCTGGCGCCGCGGGGTCCTCAGGACTTGCGTGGGGTTGCTCCTGGCGCCGCAGCGGGCCCAAGGCGCTGCTGTCGGCGGGCCCGAGCAGCACCGCTTGGCCATTGTCGCTCCCAGGCAGCGCAGGTCGGCGGCCCCAGCCGGCGCAGCCTCTCCGCCCTGGGAGCGGCCGCTGTTCTGCGCCCAGGCCCAGCGCGGGCTGCCCTGGGGGGCTCGGTGCTGAGCGCTGAAGCCTTGCACCGCCCCCAAGCCAAGCCTTGCACGGACGGACCCTGCTCTCTCCTCCGCGTCCCTCCCCTCCCTCCCTCCCTCCTCCCCCCTCTCTCCGCCCCCCTCCCCCCTCCACAATTACACAACATGAATACTTCTCTCCTCTCTCCCCTGATGACGTCCGGAAGATGTTCGGCCCCCCCTCCGCGTACTGTTTTTTCCCACATGGTTCCCAAGGATCTGGGTTTCCATGTAATTTCTTGTAATTTTACCTGCTGAAGCGCTGGCCTCATTTTCGGGCTTCCGCTCGTTCCGAATCGTGCTCCCGCTGCAGCGCTGGCCTCAATTCCGCGCTTCCGCTCGTTCCGAATCGTACTCCCGCTGCAGCGCTGGCGTCGTTATTTCCAGTGCCATGCCACGGCATGCAATGCAATGCTGTATGTGTTCCGCTGTGCGATGTCATGCCTTCAACTGCAACGCTAGGATATGCAGTGCTTGACTACGCAGTGCCACGCCATGCTATGCCATGCTGCGACTTGATCGTCAATTATGTTCTGCACCTCTGTGCGATGCCATTATTTGCGTTGCAATGCTTTGTGATGCAATTATTCGCTACGGAACGCCACGCATACTACGCTCTTCAGTGCTCTTCAACGCCCTGCTATGCCGTGCTATACGATGCATCGCGCACCCTCTAGGGATCATTGCCCTGCTCGACATCCGACTGTGCGACTACGCCATGGTACGGGATGGGAGGGAGGGGTAGGACGTCAGATATGACGCGAACGCACCTAGCTTGCGCCTCCCCCCTCCCTCCTCCCTCCTCCCGCCACCCTCCTCCCGCCTACCTCGTCCCCCCCTCCCCCCCCTCTCCCCCCTCTCCTCCCTCCTCTCCTCCCTCCTCCTCCCCTCCCTCCTCCCCCTCCCCCCCTCCCCCTCCCGCCTCTCCCCTCCCTCCCCCTCCCTCCTCCCCCCTCTCCCCCTTCTCCCTCCTCCCTCCTCCCTCCTCCTCCTCCTCGGCCTCCTCCTCCTCTTCCTCCTCTTCCTCCTCCCTCCGCCTCCTCCTCCTCCTCCTCCTCTTCCTCCTCCCTCCGCCTCCTCCTCCTCCTCCTCCTCCTACTCCGCTTTTTCTTCCTCCCTCTTCCTCGGCGCCCCCAACGGCGGGGGGCCTCAGACTCGCTCCATCCGTCCGCGGGCTGGCTGTAGGCTCGCAGGGCGCTGGTGCGCCCGTAAGGCTGGCCTGCACGGTAGGAGGGGCAGGGCGACTAGGGGAGGGTGTCGAAGCAGAGGTCCCTCCTCGCCTCCTCCTCCTCCTCCTCCTCCTTCTCCTCCTCCACCTCCTCCGCCTCCTCCATTCCTGTTCCTTATTAAATGCTTCCTTCCTGTCACACCCAGGGGCGAGCTTTCAGGGCGGGCTGGGCGTTTCGCCAAATACTTCCTCACCATTCATGACCCTGAAGCTTAAAACTTGGAAGCAGTTTCGCAGATGGAGGGCGGGTCGTTTTCAAACTGTGGCTTTCGCCTTAGCGCCGCGCGCATTCGTTCTAAACATGTGCAAGGGCTTGTGAGAGCAATAAACATATGTGGCTTCGCCTTCGCGCCGCGAACATACATTTTACGACGATGCAGGAATTTCACGGACTGAGGGCGGGTGGTTTTTCAAAATGTGGCTCTCGCTTCAGCGCCGCGAACATGCGTTTTAAGACTTTGTAAGAGTTTCACGAATTGAGGGCGGGTGGGTTTCAAAATGTGGCTCTCGCAGTAGCGCCGCGTATAATCGTTCAAACAGCTTGCAATAATTTCGCGGATTGAGGGCGGCTCCTTTTCAAAATGTGGCTCTCGCCTTCGCGCCGCGCACATTCGTTTTCAAAATTAACAAAAAATTTCGCGGGTGCCCATGATCAACCTACCAGAAAACGTGTTTTGGAAGGCTTCAGGATTATGAGGGTGCAACAGTTACGTTGATTGGCGGTGTTGAAGTCCCAGAATAGCGTTCTGGCACGATTCAAGATCGTCAAGACGCAACAGTGCGGTTGATCCGTGGCGTTGAAATCCAGAGAACAATGTTTTGGTATGCTTCAGGGACTTCAAACGGTTGTCTTCCGATAAGGCAGTTCCCTCAGTGTGCATGAACCGAGGGGCCTGTGAAGAGGGAGCTTGGAGGGAGGGTTTCTTCCAACATCCTTGACGGCTCTTGGATTTACACCGGTCCTCCTCCTCCCTCTCACTCCTCCTCCTTCTCCTCCTCCTCCTCCTCTTCTCCTCCCCCCTCCTCCTCCTCCTCCTCCTCCTCCTCCTCCTCCTCCTCCTCCTCCTCCTCCTCCTCCTATTACCGATTGCCGATCTCAGTCCGAGCCGACCAGGGGCCACACTCGAACAGTTCAAACCCCACAGCTCAAGGTCTCCAGGCTCCTTGTAGAGCCATGTGCAACCGAGACGGGGTGGGGGCTGCTAAATTAAAGGCTGTCGGATCATATCGAACGGGCCACGGGGAAGAGAGCTTATGTCCTGGCCCACCTGGTAAAATGCCCCTTCTGATCTTCGACAAATCCTTGAGAGAGGAGGTGCAGGCATGGCACGGGCCTAGAAGCCGATTCGCTCGACCACCTGCCATATATCCGCACCTCATGCAGAAAAGTAGTGGGAGCTGAGTCTTTTCATTCATAGAAACCCACAAAGTATGAGGATAAGTTGCTTGTGAAGCTCTCTTCACCAGGTCAGACAACGACGGCGGAAACGACACACATCTAGAGTTCGCAAGCAACTTGGCCCCTCTACGATGGCACTGAGCGCATCTCCAAACTCCTGCGGCCTGATCCCAGACTGGGGTGTGGGGCCTCGGAGGGAGGGGGTGGGCCAGTGACCTGGAGATTCTGGGCACCACTCCAAAAAGTTCTCGAAGGGGGGGGCACTGGACTAGAACCTGGCACGTATTAATGGCAACCTGCTTATATAATGTGAGCGCATCCTTAAAGGCCTTCAGGTCCGTGCAGCTCATATTGTTACCCCACGCCGCCTGCTTGGCTGCATGGTCCGCCCAAGCATTGCCCTTGATGTGGCACAGCTCGAGCTCCGACCTCGCATCCTGTTCCTTCAAATGGGCTTTCACCTTCAAGCAAACATAAGTGGGGCGGCCAGCAATTCGCCAGTATCCAGCGTGCGGCGACGAGTGCTTCTTGGCCTGCAAATAATGGCCAGCCCCCCAAACTACAGCTTGGAAATCTGAATGCAGAGCAGTTTCAAAGCTTGCAACTATTAGCGGGGGGCTGGGTTCTGAGTCCAAGGGGGGCAGGTGTTTCTGAAACATACAGGCAGCGTGGTGCTCAGCCGCTGCAGCTGTCTGGGGGGCCCCGCCAGGAACGGGACCTCGAATGCCCCTAATAAGATCCCCTGGCTCAGAGCACTCTACAACAGCCCACCCCGCTCTCGCAACAAAAAGCATTGCTCCATCTAAAGCACGAGCCGTCACTGTAGTGTCGAACTCCTGACCTCTGGAATAAAAAGGGCTCTATCACGCCATCCGCACTGAAATGCAAGATTGCTGGATCCTCCACGGGCCTGCTTGTTATTTCGGGGGAGGGCATCCAAAGAGAGGCAAAGAGGGGATCCGCAGGCCCGTGGTGGAGCGCCATTGCCAGAATTTCTCCATCCTGACCTTCACGCGCGGCCTCGCACCAGGAACATTCCCAGGCCCTGTGAAAAAATAGAATCTGGAGCTCCACATCTGGGGCAGAGCCCATCTGTCTCGAACCCCCCACTGCTTTAAAGTCAGGCCTGTGGGATAGCGGCCTGTGAAAACTTGCTCCAAAATGCGCTTATAATTCTTTGGGAACGACTTGCTAGCCAAAAGTCTGCTCGGCCCCAGGGACCAAAGGCCTCGGCCCCGAATTCCCGCGCCCTTGGGTCCGAAGTTTGCCCAAGGGCCCTAAAACAGCAGGCTTGATTAACTGCTTTTTTAAATCTTTGAGTAGCTCTTTCGCTGCAAGGGCTAGAGGGGTGGCGGTCATATGATGTTGCGTCCCATCAGCACCGAGGAACACCGACGGGGTGAGCTGCTCCCAGCCTGCTTCCCTCAGCCGCAGGTGCATGTCGGACAGCGGACCCGAGACCTTCCGCATCCACGACGACTCCCTCGGTATTCTCTCCAAAGAATTCTGTGTGAGTTGAAATGCCTGCGTGAGCTCCTCTTCAGTAAGTCCATCAGCTGGACGCAAATCGGGGTCTGCAGCTTGCCACCATTCTTTAGCATGCCGTTTGAAAGTGTCAACAGCTCTAGCTACTGGGTCCCGGCCTGGATATAAGGACCAAGCTATGTCTAAAGCGCCACCTGCAATGCCAAGAGCGCGAGCTCCTGCTTGTCGAAGTCCTTGTATCTCAGTAGGCGACCAACCCAAGACTTCAGCGCCATAAGTAGCTGCCGCCTGAATCCCTGCAAAGTAAACTCGTGCTCGCGTATGTGCAGGGGCTTGCATGTTCCTGAGACGTCTGAGGCGAGGCTTAATTACTTTCATACGCTTGCGCCGAACCCGACCATGTCCAGGCTGTCTCCTATGTCGTCCTGGTGCATACTGAACTCCAAGATTTCGCACAGCAATCTCTGGGCGGCATGCTAGTTGTCCCAGTGCCGCCAAACACGCATCTGATAAAGCCTTGGAGGAGCCCGTGCAGCATATCTTCTTTTCAGCTAACGGCACTCCCAGAACTGTATCTACCAATATCGCCAGTGCCGTTGCTCGATCATACATTGCCTGCACACATGTGTGGAAACCTTTGGCTCCAATGCTTAAACCCAAGTCATCAATATGTACTGTAAGTGTGGCCAATCCCACATCTGGTAACTGTTCCTCCGTCGTTCCCTGGTGCCAGAAATTGACCGCTGGGGTAACAAACATTCTCGCTTCGTATGTTGCAGTCGCTGTCCCCGCAACAATCCCTCTACCAGCAAATATTCTGTCAGTAACAAACCCATCAAGGGCTATCCGTCTCGGCCATCTATAGGTATTCAGGGCGTATTGAATCGCGGATATTGGGTGCTGCATCTGGGCGGCCGTTTCAAACACCTTGCGATGACATACATGCTCATAAAATTGCTTAAGGTCATATAGTACCGATAGCAAGTGGTATCCGTCCTCAGCCAGGGCCTCTCCTCGAGCGGCCTGTCGCCACACTGCATCGTGTGGTCCACGTCCTGGCGCCATGCTGAAAGATGGATGTTGGCCTTCCTCTCGCTCCCACTTTTTCGCCTCCCAAGCCATTGTTTTGCCGTGCAATCGTACCGTGCTGGTGAAGAAACCAATGGGTCGCCTTCCCGATTCTGGCTTTCTAAATAGTTGAATAATAACCTGCTGCAGGTTGCTGGGCGCATTCGAAATCATTTTCATCACTGCGAAGATGCCCGTGGGAGCCGAAAGCGCAGGAGTGCACAGAAGGGAAAATGTCGTGGGTGTATCCCGTCAACTGCAATAGGTCTAGCTTTGAACTTCCTAGAGACCCTTCTCATAACATGAGGGTCCACTCTGGGTGGTACAGTAACTGCAGTCTCTAGAAACGGGCTAGGTTCATCCTGTGCCTTCCAAGCTTTTGTCCACAAAACCTCCTGCTGTTCAAGAATTCCATCCAAGGACGCTGTCATTGTGCCGTCTGGGCGTGTGTAGACCTCTTCCACATAAAATTGGGGAAGCCGTGTATATGCATGTGCTCCTCCAGCTCCTCCCTCAAGTGCTCCTTCACACCCAGCCGTCCACTCCTCCTTCTGCTTCTTCTTGGCTACGCTGACCTGCTGCTTCTCTGCAATGCCAAGGAGGTCGACCCAGGCAGAAACGTCTTCTTCCAGGGGTATGTCTGGGCACTTTTCATCCTGATTGAATCGCTTGATAAGATAATCTAAGATAGACTGCCAAGACTGACCAGCCCAGCCAAGATGCTTGCGGGGAAGCCCTCCTCTACGTTGTAGTCGTGAGGTTTTATTCCAGAGATTCCAATAGTAGTCTCCGTAGCCTCCTGAGGAAATACCTTGTCGGCGTAGGTGCATGAGCTCTTGGAGCCGTGACCTCATCCAGTGGAGCGCCAACCCAGGAAGCGGCCTGCTGTTTTCTTTGGTAGCCAGGCTTTGCCGAAGGGGTCGCTTCGCGGTCCTAATCGGGGCCCCACCTGGGACTTGCTTGGGATGAGGTGTTGTGTGAGTGACTTGCTGGAGTTCTGTCCGCGCTTTCGACGCCCACTCCTCGTAGACGCTGTCGAGGAGGTTCTGCGCATCTGTCCTCTATTGTCCTGTCACACTGATGATATCTCCATGAGTGTTGGTGTGTTGGGCAATGTAGTCATCAACCTGGGCATTGATACTGTCGTAATCTGGGGGCTCGATTGCCGGTCCGATTCCTGGTGATATTGGAAGAGTAGCATGCCGCACAAGAACCTGAACCTGGATATCTTTCGTAGATCGGCGTAGGCGAACTCCTACAGGTCTATGGGGTCCTGGTACAACTGGATTATCCAACTCTACTGCCGCATCCCCAGTTCGTACATCTAAGGCTCTGGTGATCATGTAGTAGTCAATATTGCTGGACCCTTGTCCCCCATCATAAATATGTGATGGCGTATGCGGATCAAACCGAAAAGCTCCATTAAGCATGTTCATGTAGACCCCTGCCCTCAATTCACATGGCTCCATATTCCAATCCCCTCCAGCTATTTATGGTATCCCCCTGTCAAGGATATGTTCATCTAAGGTCTGGATGATACCTGAGTTCACTCCACTCATCTATATGCTATCCTGCAAATACACGCTGTATATACTGATGAGGCCAAGTTCCTGTGTACGCATATAGCAGTGTGCCAAATGTCGTGCTACCACTGAAGCTCCATGACGGGGGCAGGACCAAGCATCTAGGTATCTATGCACCAGTATACACGCACCACCACATGTATTATTCTTATCACTGAAACTAGGCTGGCCCCCAAAACTGCGCCATCCAATCCCAAGAAGCTTCTGTTGCTGGTCCTGCTGCTGGGGAAAGCTGAGCTTGTGTTCCTGGATAAGCACAATCTGGGCAGACGCATTCTTGACATAGTTGACCGCTGTCCACCAGCTGTTGCCATTGAGTGTCACAATCTGAAGATCATTTGCTGCCTTGGAGCGAACGTATTTCGTCCTAGTGGCCTTCCTAATGTGATCCGTCCCAGGCCCACAAGGGACTTCAATCTTTATCTTCTTCTCCAGCTGCCTCCCACTCATGGTGCGGGTGGCGAAAAGATCCTGAAGTTGCTGCAAGGCGGGCCTTCTTGATCGTACGAAAGGCTTCAATGAGGTTGCGTTTCTCTGCTTCTGAAGCTCCTGTTTGACGAAAGGCCCCAAGCAGCTCCTCCTCATCCACCTCCATAACTATTCTTAGCTGAACTCCCTTCCAAGCGTGCATCTGCTCTTCCTGACACTGCTCCTGCAATATCACCTCCAGCTTCACATATTCCTTCATCTCCTCCACCCCCAGCTCCCTGCGCACGACGTCCTGCCATAGCAACGGGGATATCGGCCGCATTTGGAGGCGGGGCAACAATACTCTTGACCTTCGCGAACTGGTGCTGCAATACTGCCCTTGCCTGCTCATTGGGGATATTTGGTACCAGCTGTTCCAAGGATGAGAAAAGTTCAGTAAGGGGGTTGAGCAGCTCCTGGGGCGCTGCGGGGGCCAGGTCATTGGCCCTCTTGAGCTCCTCCAATTCTCCTTCCTCCTTCTGTAATTGCTCCTCAATGTCAATAACTACATCTTGCATATCTTCAATCTTTTGCAACAGAGAATCGCGGTGCGACTTGATCTTGGAGATTGTTGCCTCTTTCTTACCCACATCCTGTTCGACTTTCCGAAGCAACAAACTGGCAGGAGTAGCTTCTCTTTTAGCCTCCTGTTGGGTTCCCCAAGCTGTAGCCAGAGCCTTAGCCACGTCTGGAGGATAAGGATTGTTGGGGCCCTGGGAGATCTGGAAAGCTCTGTGAAGTTCATTGTGCGCATCGCGGCCCACATCACGGCGGGGTTCACGACCTCCTCGTCCTCCTCCTCCTCCAGGATCCCTTCCTTTACCAAGTCCTCCTCTGTCACCTCTGGTCTTTCCACCTTTACCACCGAATGACTTCCACCCTCCTTGTCCACCTCCACCATTGTTACCTCCAGCCCACACACCTTTCGGGGAAGAAGCTGGAAGTTGGCGGAGACGGGGTAATTCCGAGCCACAGTGATAGCACCATTTGTAATGTTCAGGATTACGCTTGCACCCGCAACCACTGCACACAAGGCCCACAAAATAATCCCCACCATAGCTATGGGCCATCAGTGGACTGAGACTTACTGGTTGCACGGGTCTCACTCAAGGGAACTGCTCCAACAGGAGCTCACAAAATTGCGAAACGCCTCGTCTGACCCGGCAAACGAGGGGCACTGTGGGGGCCGCTGCTCCCCCTTGCCAATGAGGTCAGGTCCTGTGCCAAAACGGCTCCGGACTTGAGCCAAAATGGCTACGGCCCCTCCTCCTCCTCCCTCCTCCTCCTCCTCCTCCTCCTCCTCCTCCTCCTCCTCCTCCTCCTCCTCCTCCTCCTCTCTCCCTCCTCCTCCTCTCCTCCTCCCCTCCTCCTCCTCCTCCTCCTCCTCCTCCTCCTCCTCCTCCTCCTCCTCCTCCTCCTCCTCCTCCTCCTCCTCCTTCTCCTCCTCCCCCTGCTCCTCGTCCTCTGAAGGGGCCCAGGGGCGAGACGAGACGAGGCCGCCGTTCCCGCACCGAGGTGCGGCCCTCCAAAGAGCAGGCGGGGGGGGGCCGTCGCCCCGCGAGGCTCACGCACCGCACGCGCTCGACGCTGCCTTCCACCGGACGTGCCATGCTCAGCTGGGGCCGTACGACACGCCACGCGCCTCTGGAGCCAGCAGCGCAGCCAAGGCGCAACCGAGGGCCGAGCGGGCCGACAGGCAATCTTCCGAGTCTTGCAGGGCCCCCGGAGGCGGCCCTTCTCCTCCTCCTCCTCCTCCTCCTCCTCCTGATAAAGCCACCGGGATTCGAGCCCGGGTCGCTCGGGCAACGGTAGCAGCTGCGCATGCTCACACCACCTCGGCTACGATACTGCAAGGGGCCCAGGGACACACAGACGAGTAGACGCAGCTCCCAGGATCCCCCATGTGTCTCCTGTACTTTCAGGGCGTTCGTCTTCCCCCCCTCCCTTCCCATATCTTCCCATGTTTTCCTGGGAATCGACGATTCATGGTGTCTGTGTTTTTCCCCTCCTGATCCGCACCTCTCTCCTCGGATCCCCTCGGCACCCCCTCAGACCCCCTCTGGTCATGAAACGATACCGACGGCCAGTGTTCGACCACCCTCGGCCTCTTGGGGGCCCTCATCTGGCCCCGGGACCATCAGAGAACGACTCGGGATGCAAAAAGCCGGCAACAGGGAAGTGGTCGAGCTCTCTGGAGGTCGATGATGCGACAAAATCGCGACATCGGGGTTCTGGGCACCTCACGTCCTCCTCGCCTCCCCTCCCTTCCCTCCTCCCCTCCCCTCGCTCTCCCGGCTCCCTCCTGCCAAGTTTTGCCCTCCACCCTCGAAGATCGCCTGGGGCAGGTGTTCGGGCGTTTCTGGCCCCTGTCGGGCCTCCAGAGGCCTCCTTCCCACTCCCGCCTCCTTCCTCACCGCTCGGAGCAAGACGACCCGTGCCAGCGCGAAGTATCGGTGAGCAGTGCTCGCCCAACTGCCGTCTCCGCACCTGTCCCTCGCCCCGGCGCCCGGTTGGCAAAGACATGAGGTGGGACACGCAGCGGATCAGAGCGGACAGCTGCCCTAGCAAATACAAGCGTGACTATATAACAATCGGTTTCGGTATCTTCATTGCCCCTCTCCGTCTTCCTCCACTCCCACTCCTACTCCTCCTGAAATTTCCCTCTCGCCATTTATTGTATGATCCCTGCTCTGTTGGTGCATTGTAGTATCATGATCGTTTCTCTCTTCTGCTCGTTCCTCCTCTAATTTCTTTGCTTGCCGTGTCTCCTCTTCATCTCTCGTGCATTGCAACATCTTCACTTCCTGATGTTTTCCTCTCCACTCCTCTATGTATTGCTATCTTCGATTGCCTTCGCTGCTTTCCTTTGCATCTCCTCTCGTCCTCGCTCGCCTCGGCATGCTTGGTGAACGGCCAGGCCCGGCAGTGACCGCGATGATGATGGCACTCTTTGCACAGCGCCTCTCAGCTCCAGGCCAAGGCCGCGCGGAACCCAGGGCCTACTTACAGCAGGTTCGTGCCGTGACGACACTGGCGTTGCTTTCTGACACAGGCGGCGTTCCGATCGCCTGATCGTTCCGTATCGGCTGATTCTGGGCCCACTGGCGGCGTTCAACCTGGAACGCCCGCGGCGGGGCCGCCGCCGCGTCGAAACGGCGCGAACCTGCCGTACCGGCATGGCCCTTCCGCAGCCGTGGCCGCTGGGCCCGAGCTGTCACCTCCTCGCGGGGGCCGGGGCGGACGACGTGGCGCTGGAGGAGCTGCTGCGGCTGGTGCTGTCGGGCCTGCTGCTCGAGGTGGGGCGGGGGGAGCCCTGGGGCCCGCCGCCGGCCGAGGGCCGCTGGCCGCGCTGCTGCGCAGCCGAAGCCGGCCCCGCCGCGCTCCGCCGCGGCCCCGCGCGCTCGGGCGGCGCAGCGGCTGCGGCCCCGCGGGCCGGGGCCGGGGCTCCCGCGGGGGCCGCGGCGCCCCGGGAGCCCCGCGCCTGGCCGACGGCCCCGTGGTCCGGCTGGAAGACCGCCGAGCCCGCGCGGCCGTGCGGCTCGGGCGGCGGCGCCTGCCGCTGCCCGTGCGGCGGCGCCGCCGCCGCCTGGGCCTGCAGCCTCTCCAGCTGCTCCTCCTGCAGGCTGCAGACGGCGTCCCTCTCGGCCAGCCGCGCCTCCAGGCCGGCCACCTCCTCGCGCAGCGCGCCCAGCTCCCGCAGCGAGGCCGCCTGGGCCTTCCGCAGGCTGGCCGCCGTGGCCTCGAGGCCTGCCCGCACGCCCTCCGCCGCCTCGCGGCGCCTGGCGTCGCTGCTTCCCGCGGCCTCGAGCTCGGCGACCTCGGCCCGCAAGGCCTCGATGATCGGGGGCTGCCAAAAGGTGCCCATGTCCCAGGGTGCCCCCAGCTTGTCGCTCCACCTGGGAGCCCCTGGGCCCCTTGGGCCTCGTGGAGGGGTGCCCCTGGAGGCCGTGGAGGCCTCCTTGGAAGTCCCGGGGGCCCACTGTTGGGCCAGGGACACTCTTGGCAACACCCGAGATGAGCACGATGGCCCGGGCCATCCGGCGCCGCAGGTCCCCGCACGACTCGCACCAAGCGCCCCCCGACGGCGGCGGCGGCGGGGCGGCGGCCGCCCCGGCCGCCATGACCCCCGAGGCCGCGGGGCGCCTCGGGCGCTGGCGAACGGGGCCGGGGCCAAGGGCGCTCGAGGGCCGAAGCGGCTGTGGCTATGACTATGGCTATGGCTATGGCGGCGGCGGAGGAGGAGGAGGAGGAGGAGGAGGAGAAGGAGTGAGGAGTGAGGAGTGAGGAGTGAGGGGCGAGGAGTAGTGAGGAGTAGTGGGGAGTAGTGAGGAGTAGTGAGGAGTAGTGAGGAGTAGTGAGGAGTAGTGAGGAGTGAGGAGGAGGAGGAGGAGGAGGAGGAGGAGGAGAGGAGGAGGGTGCGGCGTCCATTGGAGGACTTGAATGCCACCAGCCCGAGCCCGAGAAAGAGGCTCGACGGCAAGCCAGGCGCTGCAGGCAGGCTCGGAGGGAGGGGGGAAGAGGGAGGAGGATGAGGAGAGGGGGAGCAGGAATGCGAGGAGGAAGAGGGGGGGAGGGTGGGGGGGAACGCGAGGAGGGGGGCGGAGGAGGAGGACGAGGGTCAGCCTGCTGCCGCCTCACGTGGGAGGTTCGCTGGGCAAGGGCCGACGTCGCACGATGGTTCAGGCGCATGCCCCAATCAACAGATCACCGAAGCCGTCCAGTTGGTGATCAGCCAGCGGATCCGACGGGTGCCCAACTCGTTCCACGACCGATTGGGCGTTCGAATGGCTCAAAGATCGAGGCCTTTTGCCGGGGCCTCAATTTTTGTGCCTCTCCTTCAGGCCGTCTCGCGCAAACGTGTGCGCATAATGCTGCCTCCCTCGTGTTGGTAAAGATGCCCTCGCCAAAGCTACCATGCCCACGATCGGAGGTTGGGGACAAGACCGACGTGAAACGAACAGAGGCCTCCCATGGGGTCGGAGTAGATGGGTTCAGAGGATCGCGCCGCATCGCCGATGTATCGGCGTGGGCTTCACATCGAGCCGCATCGCCGATGTACTGGCGATGCGGCGCGATCCCTCGACCCCGTCTGCACACCCAGACGCAAGGTCTAGCACGAGGTCGCCCAGCTGGGACTTCGATCTCGGCTTCGGCTCGTGCCGTGCTGGCGAGGCGGCGCAGCACGAGCACGGAGCCGACCGCGGAGGCGGCCAGGGCCCTGCACAGCGGGAGCCGTTGACAAGCCAGGACGCTGGCGCGCCTCGGAACACTGCAGGCCCAGGGCAGGAGGAGGAGGAGGAGGAGGAGGAGGAGGAGGAGGAGGAGGAGGAGGAGGAGGAGGAGGAGGAGGAGGAGGAGGAGGGAGGAGAGTAGGAGGAGGAGGAGGAGGAGGAAAAGAAGGAGGAGGAGGAGGCGTGGGCCGCAACATCCTCCACCCGTCGTCGTCTCTAGCTCAAAAACTTTCGAAGTCCTGGTCTGCCGCAGTGCCCTGGCTTCCGGGGCCGGCGGCGGTGAGGCAGAGGGGCGGAAGAGAGGGAGGGCGGGAGGGAGCGAGAGAGTTGGAGCAAGAGAGAGAGAGAGAGAGAGACTGCGAGAGCGCGAGAGAGAGAGAGAGAGAGAGAGAAGGAGATAGAGCGCGGTACGTCGGGTGATCCTCAAACTGCCTGGGCAGCCAGCGGGCAGAAACCATAGCCCGCGGATGAGCGTCGTTGAACCGATCCCTATCCCCACTGGCGTGGTATCGGCCCCACTGGCCGAGTTACCCCCCCAGCTGGGGATGTCGGCTGCCCCCTTCGGGCTTCGAGGGGCATACCCCCAACTAGAGTGGTGAGATGGTGGGGATCGGGATGGGGATGGGGAGCAGAATCGGTGTACAGTAACACTGAGCGGAGCATCGAGGCGGCGGCTGAGGCGGCTGGCCGGGCTGGCGCTCGAGCTGGTCGCCTCCGCGCCCGGCGTCCAGCCGCTCCTCCGCCGACGCAGCGCGGGGACCCAGCGGTTGGCACCGGGACTCCTCGGGCCCGCCGCCGTAACCGTCGCCGTCGCCGTCGTCGCTCGTCGCCATCGCCGCCGTCGTCGCCGTCGTCGCCATCGCCGCCGTAGTCGCCGCCGCCGTCGTCGCCGCCGGCATCGCCGCCGTCGCCGCCGCCGCCGCCGTCGTCGCCGCCGCCGTCGCCATCGCCGTCGTGCCGTCCCCGCCGTCGCCGCCGTCGTCGCTGTCGTCGCCGCCGCCATCGCCGCCGTCGGCCCCGTCTGAAAGGGGGCCGTGTGGGGATAGGAGCGAGAAGGGTGGTCTTTATTCGGGCGCGAGCGAGGCTGGAGCTGGGTGGGGGGTCCTGGGATCCAGGCAGCGCAAACGCGCACCTAAGCATCTTACACGCCACTCTTGATGAGTGGGAGGGGTGCGTGCACGCGTTCTCTAGTGAATCCCCCTCCTCCTCTTCCTCCTTCTCTTCCTCCTCATCCCTCCTCCTCCTGCTCCTCCTCCTCCTCCTCCCCTCCTCCCCTTTCTTCCTCCTCCTCCTCCTCCTCCTTCCTCCTCCCTCCTGCACCTCCTCCTGCTTCTTAATCCCTCCTCCTTGTCCACCTCCGCTCCTCCCCGCTTTCCTCCTCATCCTCATCCCTCCTCTTCCTCCTCCTCCTGATCCTCCTCTCCTCCCCCTCCTCCTCCTCCTCTCCTCCTCCTCCTCCTCTCCTCCTCCCCCTCCTCCTCCTCCTCCTTCTCCTCCTCCTCCTCCTCCTTCTCCTCCTCCTCGTCCACCTCCTCCCTAAGGGAGGGGGGGAGGGGGGCGCCCCAAGGGGAGGACCCCCCCGGGTAGTTTTAATCTCTCGGACAGAGTGGCAACGTGACGCTGCGGTAATAGGCCTTCGCGACAAGAGATAAGTTGTCCCCAAGCTATCTGTGGCTGGGAGGTGCCGTTCAAGGGGCTGTGCCCGCGGCCCCACCCGATGCATACCTAAGCCAGCACCACCACCCTCCTCTTCGACCTCCTTTCCTCGTCGCCCTCCTCCACGTCCTCCTCATCCCCATCCCCCCTTCTCTTCCTGATTCCTCTCTCTCTCTCACTCTCTCTCTCCCTCCTCCTCCTCCTCCTTCTCCTCCTCCTCCTCCTCCTCCTCCTCCTCCTCCTCCTCTTCCCCCTCCTGAACCCTTCGCCTCCTACTTCTCGTCCTCCTCCTGCTGTAACGTTGCACGAACTCTGGCTACCTCACCGTAGCGTCAACCCTCCTGCTCCTCCTCCTGCTTCTCCTTTTTCTCCTTCTCCTTCTCCTCTTTCTTATCCTCCTCGTCGTCCTCCTCCACCACCCCCCATCACCCTCCTCTTCTTCCTCCTCATTATCCACTGGCAGATTTTTTCATTCTGGATCAATGTCTCATAATCGCGGGGCCCGGTAACGCCCCCCCGGGCGCCGACATCGAGGAAGAACGCATTTGGTGAACAGTTTACAGTGTTACCCAGCGCGGACCCCAAACATTGTGACCCGAGGAATGCTTATTGTGCAATCTAGGAGAGGCGATCTATGTGGTGCAATCTGCGTGATGAGCTACAGGTTTTGCGTTATCGGTTGTCTAGTATGTATTGATGTATCTATTGTGCAATCTGTGTGGTGCAATCGATGCGCTGTAACCGATATGGTGCAACACGCGTTGCACATTATAGGTTGTGTACTATGTGTGGTGCAACCAACATGCTGCAATCTACGCTGTGCAACATATGTGGTGCAACATGTATTGTGCAAATAATTTCTGCTCGCAGGGAGCTGCCAACGCCACTTCTAGCGAAACCATCCCACCCACCCACCCGCAACTTGGTTTGCAACACCCATGCGGCGGCGACTAAGATGAGTGTTTGGGGGTGGCTGGTGCATCTCTGCGGCCGCGCCAGCCCGCGCATGCTCGCGCGCGCAGCGGCCAACAAGTTTGGTGCGACCGACGCGGCCGCGGTGGCGCTGGCCGCTGGGCACATCCCAGCGGGCACCTCACTGCGTGTCGGCGACTTGGGCGGGCGCGGTACCATGGCAACGTCGACAGCGGTAGACACGATGATGATCGTAGCGGTGCTGGTAGCGGTGCTGACAGCGGCGAAGGCACAGCCACTGACGGCGACGATGCTGATCGCGCCGGCGACGATGACGGCGTCCTCGCGTCGGGGATGAAAGTTCCGGGAGGAGTTCGACGTGCGTGCGCGGCCGACGCGCGAGAGTGGCCCGCATGGTGTTATTTGACGCGGACCGTGCCTCCCCAGCACGCGCGCAAGGGCGTCCGAATGATTTCGGCATGCGGCGCGAGTGGCCCGCTTGGCAGACTTCCCTGCCAATGTTGAAGCACATATGGTTTTTTTTGAGAAGTCGCAAGGGCGCGAGAGCAATCTTTTTTGAAAACTGATGTTGCAAATCCACGTATTTTTTGGATGGTTTCGGGACACTCGGTCTTGACATCCTTACGACACCTAAGGTTTTTTAACGGACTGCGACATACGCGCGGCAGCACGCGGGCAAGGGCGTTCGAACGACTTCGACCTGCGCGCGCGAAGCCCGTTTGGTAGCACTTCATGAATTCCCGTATAATGGTTCCTTAAGAATTCGCAAGAGCGCAAGCACACCATACACACATATATATATATATTCATATATATATGTTTCTATGTATATACATATATATATATATATACATTTTTATATACAACACATATGTTTGGAAATACCTCTTGCGAAACCCTGTGTTGTTATATGTTTCTTGGTCACTCGATTTTGAGATCCTTACGGCACCTAAAGTGTTTGATACATGTCGGCATGCGCGCGCGACGACGCGCGTGTGTACACTTCGTCATATTGTTGCAAGGGATGGTTGAACACGGATAATTTTTGATAAACGAGTGTGCGCTCATTGTTTTTCCAAAGGATGACGGGGGGGGGCGATACCGAACTGGCTGGGATGGTATGAACTCATATTTCGGATGGGCGATGGGGCAGAACAGTATGTAGATGCAATACAAAAAAATACGGATAATCCCAAGGGGGGGGGTATAATCAATTTTTTAGATAAGAAAGGAGACACGATCTCTCTCTCTCTCTCTCTCTCTCTTTCATAGATATATGTGGCAAGGGCCCGCGCTGAGAT